CCTGGAAAGAAATTCCTTAATTTTCCTTTTAATTCAATCAGATTTTTAGCTATGGCTCACTTCTAAGTTATTATTCCTCATTTGGGACCAGGATCTAACTTAATCTAGATACACTCTTTCCTAAACATTAAGTAATAAATACACAAAATTTCTCTGTCTTCTCCTAGCTTGTATTTCTCATCCAGAATTTTTGTTCTGTTTTGTTTTTTGTTTTGTTTGCTTCACAGTAATCCTGATTTTCTCCTTTAAGAGTCTACATGTGAAGCATCTACTGTTACCTCTACCAAATGTCAATCCAGTGTTCTGTGCCACCATACCCAGCTTTTACATTGGTACTGGGGATCGATCTCTTGTCCTCATGCATTCACAATAAGCCCTGACCAACAGAGCTGTTTTCTCAGCTCTGCCTTGTTCTGTGTGACCATCGTCTGCCCCTACGGTTTCTGGTGACAATGAGTAGTTTATTAAATATTCCTTGTTCATGTTAAGCAATGTCTCTCTTAAGGTGCTCACCAGATAGGTACTGTTTCACTGAATAGTGTCTCGCAGGACCTTTCAGGACTGCTCACCTGACTCTTAGTGTCAGTCATGCTGTCTTCAGGTATACCAGTTGTTTGTCCTGCCTACTCATCTCTGCCATTGACCCTCGCACACGCTCTGTTGAACTTCTTGTCTCATGTGTTGTACTTTTTCAGCTCCAGAGTATTTGTTTGGTTTTGTTTTACAGTGTCTTTATTGATGCCATCTTGTTCTTAGGTCATTTTCTTAATAGTGGTCAGTTCATGTTCATGTTTCCTTTGCTTTTGAACTTGTTTCAGCTCATGTTTTTTAAAGTTTTAATTAGGTAAATTTGGTGGCAAGGCTTCCACCCAGATGTCATCTGTAATTTAGTTTTGCGTCATTGCAGAGACTGTTTCTCTTGTTCTCTGTGTGCTCTATGCTTTTGTTGCTGCCATGCTGTTTACAAAGTAGACAGTTCAGTATTACAATCTAGTAATGGTGGGAATCAGTTCTCATCTTTTTCAGGTTTTGTTGTCTTTTTGATTATTTGTAGTAGTCTGTTTATATAGTAATTTTCTAAAGTATTTTACAGACAGTGTTCTTGTCATGTAATGTCATTGGTTTCTGTTTCTTTATTATATATCTACCTAATTTTTGGTAGAGATTTTCTTGAATGTCAAGGATTAAAACAAACAAATAAAACCCAACTACCAACAATCAAATTTTCTGGCCTTTCAGGCTGCCACTGTGCAAAGGCACTCTTAAACATTTGTGCTGTAGGTAAAACTTGAATATGAAAAAGCTAGCTAAGTATGGACCAGCAAGCAGTGTTCATGACTTCTCCTTTAGTTATACCCTGAGCTTTTGCCCTGACTTCGATATTTGATGTACTGTCACCTGTAAGTTGAAATAGTTGTTTTTGGTCAGTATTTAGTCAGAAAGAAATTCAAATTAGAGCAACTATTACATTGGCTTGTGTGTTTGCTTTTTGTATGTTAATTTTCCTGACATTTTGCTGAACTGTTTAGCAACTTTTAAGAGTTTTCTCCTAAAGTCTTCAGGGTCTCTTGCTTACAGAATCTTCTTATCTGCAAATAAGACTGCTTTGACTTCTTCCTTCCCTAGTTATGTCCCCTTACATCCCACATCTTCTTGCTTCTAGCCCTAGCTAGTATTCAGTATTATGTTTTTTAAGAGTGGAGAAAGTAGAAAGTCTTATTTTGTTCCTGACTTTGTTGGAAATGTTTTGAATTTTAGAACTTTAATATAATGTTAGGTATAGATATACGCTGAGATATGTTCCTTCCATTCAGATCTTCTTTTATCAAGAAGAGGTGTTAGAATTTGTCAGTCTTTTCTGAGTATATCAAGATGATCATGGTATTTCTGTCCTTGACCCCAATTTATAACATTTATTGATTTATATGTTGAATTATTCTTTCATCTCTATAATAGAGCCAACCTTATTAGAATGAATACTGACCTTCTGGGTGTGTTCTTGAATTTGATTTACACATATTTTATTTAGAATATTTGAATCTGTTTGCATTGGAGAAATTGCTTTGTAATTTTCTCTTTCTGTTGCATCTATGTCTGGTTTTAGTATGAGGGTAATATTAGCTTCATAAACCACTTGGATATACTTCACCCTTTCCTGTTTTATGAAATAATTTAAGAAGCATTAGTGTATTCTTTGAAGGCCTAATAAAGTTCACCAGTGAATCCATCTGGGCCTGAAGTTTTGTAGGTCAGAGATTTTTAACCACTGCTTCATTTCACTGAATTATCTCATCTTGGTTTAATTTTGGTAGGCCATGTGCACCAATTTATCAGTTTTTTTTTTTTCTTTTGAGATTTTTTTTCCAGTTTAGTGATTGCTTTAAAATGAGGCTTAATGATTTCTCCATATTTCATTGATATATGTTTCAGCAGTTCCCTTTTTATCCATTAATTTTATTAATTTATCTTTTCTTTCTTTTGGTTACTTGGCTTAGGGTTTCTCAAAGAACCAATTACTTTGTTGATTTTTCTGTGGGGTTTTGTTGTTGTTTGTTTTTCATTTCATGAATTTTTGTCCTAGTCTCAATGATTTCTTTCTGTGAACTGATTTGGGGTTTGGCTTGTTCTGTTTCTGAGGTCTTAACATGCACCATTAACTATTTTATTTCTAATGTAGGTACTTAATACTATAAACTTCTCTACTAAAAATATGGTCTTTGTAGGCCATGGGTTTTAGTATGTTGCACTTTCATGTATTTCTAGAAATGTATTTCCCTCTTGATTTTTTGTAATGATCCATTCAATTGCACATTGTTATCTTCGGGAGTCTGTGTATGTTCTCAGGTTTCTCTTGCTGTTGATTTACAGTCTTATCCCATTGTAACTGGATAGAGTACAACCAATTATTTCAGTATTCTTATGTTTATTAAGACTTGTTTTGTGTCCTAATATTTTAGAGACTGTTCTATAATGTGTATTCTACAGTGTTTGAATGGAATGATTTATAAGAATCTGTTAAGTCCATTTGGTCTGTTATCATTTAATTCAGTTAGTTCTCTGTTTATTTTCTATAAGAATTACCTATCAGTAAGAGTGTAGTATTCTGAGTTTTAAATATAAAAAGAACCCCTTTATGGAACAAAACAAAAAAAAAAAATAGTATCATGTAATGATTGAAGCAGTAGTTTTCCATTTGTGTCATTTACATACTAAATAAGAGTAAATCTATACTGAGTTACTTATTGTTTATTATTTGGGCTTGCCACATCTCAGTGTTAGGATATCAGCTAAGAACAGAATATATTGAGATATTTTCCATAGAGTGTAACAGGATGCTGTGCATGAGCCAGATATAAACTTTACCATATCAGGCTTTCTCAAAGTAAATTGGGACTGAGAAATGGCACAGCAGTTTAGAGTGTATACTGTTCTTTCAGTGGACCTGAGTTCAGACAGCACCTACATTAGATAATTACAAATGCCTGTAGCCCAGGGTGATCCTACACCCTCTTCTGACCTCCATGGGTGCCTGCATTTACATACACAGACACCTACACATAATTTTTTTAATTTTAAACATTGTTAAAAACAAGTATCATATATCAAATTTTCAAGGTAGCCAGACTGTATAGACTATACTGCAAAGCACATGCCATATATACCACAGTAGCTGCCCCTGTAGAAGAGAACAGAGAAGAACGGGGAGAAGGTACCTTCTAACACTTATAACTCCTTGAATGGTTTTTAAAATACTGGAAGTGATCTTTAAAAACATATTTTTTTATTCAGGTCAGGCTCCACTGGCTAGATCTTCATCCCATGCGGTCTAACTTCTTTTTTCTTTAATGAATTATTGAGGTGCTAAAGCTTGTTTTTGTCATATACTTCTCTTCATATATCTCTATACAGCAAGAGCTGTATCTGTATTGATAATCCTTTGATTTCCACCCAACTATAAGTACTACATTGGGCCCAAGTGAAATGGCAGAGTAACCATTACAAGTAAGTTAGTGTTTGTTAAAGGAGCCCAAAAGATGCCCTGAATTTAAAGGTTAAATTACTGCTCCAATCACAGAAGGATTTAGCTCTAGGCCCTCAGACTCTCTAAACTTCAGACAATGGGGTCTTCATGCATGAGGGAGCATCAGAAGAGGTGATTTCAGGGCCTTTGGTGTATCTGTCTCAGAAGGTATATGCAGAATAGTAGCATTCTTGCCAAAAATCCAGTCAGATGTGAAGAAATTGTGCCAGGCAGCCTGATATTATCTATAAAGTTCACACTCAAGAACTGTATAGTCAAATTCAATTTTTCAAAATGTCTCTGAAGGTTTTAATTAGTTAACAGTTATGTTTTGAACCACATTCATAGCTATTTAGTGTGCATGGAGTTGGACACAGCCGTGAGTGTATTCTCTTCATTTGTATTTTTTAATGATGAAAATGCATGGGTGTTTTGAGAAGCCAAGGAACAGAATGAGTTGAAGTTCATGCTGACCAACAGGCACTTAAAGCTACATATATGTGCCACATATTTTTAATTGGCTGTCTAATAATGTTATTGTGTGCATACACATGTTTATTTTACCTCAATATAATTATGTAATAATCAAAAACTGCCTTTTAAAAAAATTGGTTATTTAGGGCTGGTCATGTACTCAGGGGTAGAAGCAATACCCTGAGTTCAGTCCCCAACACAAAATAATAATGGTTAATAATAACAATTCTAAATAAGTATAAAATGACTTTAAAGCAAGCATAACTTCAACAGTTATATATAATAACATCTAACCACAAAGAAGTTTGCAATTTAAAACAAGACTCAGAGAAATAAAATAAAGCAAGGTGCAGAGGGTTGTTTCTTAATTGATTCACCTTCATTATAAAGCCTTGTGTCAAGTCGTTGGTTTTATCTGGATGATGGAACAAATATGAACTTTAACTATGACACATGAAGACATTATTCTGAACTGTTAATAGACTCCTGAAGTTCCTTTTGACAGATGGAGATGGACACATGGATCACTTGCTACCAGGCTGTGAAGATAAAGACTGTCAGAAAAGTGCCATATACTTAATGAGATCTGGAACAAGGCAGGTATGTCAGCTTTGGGGATACTATGAATCGTGTCATGTGCTTGAAAAACCTTGAACATTAGAAAATGTGTCTAAAGAAGCAGAACACAATAAAATCCAAATTTACATTATAGAATTCTTCTTTTTCCCTAAGTGAAATACATTTAAATCTTTTTATTCTTTCACTGAAGTATAAAAAATGCTTCTGTGTGATTTTTGGTGAAGAAATCCCATTCTATATCTTGTAGTTAAATTAAATGTAGCATTTTAGATGCCAGCAATATAGAAAACACATTATAATAAAAGCTTACGAGGAAGATAATCTTATTTCCAGAGCTAACCCTGCTTTTGTTTTCATGTGCAGATCCATTCCATTTCTCAACCTTACTTTTTGCCTGTTGCTTAATAATTTAGAATCATGAGAGTCACAGTGGAGGATTAATATGGAAATAATAGGTTGTGACACTTTTAGAGTTAACCAGATTTATTTTCTTGGGGTTTAATAAGTAATAGGATATCATGCTGACTTTTATAGCCTTTTTGAGTAGAAAACACCACATTTTATATTCAGAAACTTAGTAAAACAAATCTTTATACATTCTGCATTTTAAAAATCATTGAATTATTATCTTTGACTATATTTGTATAGTTGTGAATCATTTAAAACACTATCTCAAGAAACTTCCCATTATTTGTTCATAGGTATAAAAATACATAACAAGAATACTTGAAAATTATATAATTAACCGGGCTTTTAATCCCAGCACTCAGGAAGCAGAGGCAAGCAGATCTCTATGAGTTGGAGGCCTGGTCTACTGAGTGAGTTCCAGGACAGCCAGGGCTACACAGAGAAAGCCTGTCTTGAAAAAACGGAAAGGAGGAAGGAAGTTATATAGTTACCTATCTCTATGAAGACAAATGTCACAGTTCTTTAATGGGTATTATAGATTCTGCATTGAATGAAAATTTTCTAATACAGTTTATCAGAAACACTTTACCACGCTTTTACCCCTCATTTATAAACTGCTGACAGCTTCAGAAATTGATTATTGGGTTTTGTTGTTGTTGTTTATTTGTTATTTTTTGAGGGTTTTTTGCTTGTTTGTTTTTTAAGACAGGGTCTCCCTGTATATCTCTGGCTGTCCTGATCATTCCTTTTGCAAATGACTATTTTTCTAAAGTGATTATGATTAATCTTATTCTCTTTATTCTTAGTGGGTTCCTGTGCTTCAGGATTTTAGCAACAAGGGTACACTCTGGGGCTTTGTGCCATTTGTGCATGAAGAACAACCAACTTCAATACCAATTCCACTCACCCTTCATATTGGAGACTACAACATGGATGGCTACCCAGATGCTCTTGCCATATTAAAGAATACATCTGGAAGGTATGGAGAGTAATTTGCATGACAGAAACTTGTAAAATGTCTTTACCACAGCAACTTGTGACTGACAGCAGTTAAGCTGTTATAGTCTTCCCTAGGAGGAATTGATAGGCTCAGCTCATGGTTCCTTGTGTGATACGTGAACTCATCCCATGACTTAGAAATTAATTGTCACAAATCATGTTAATATTTCTAATTGTTAAAATATGTCAGCTCACACAACCTAGAATCATCTGAAAAGATGCTCTCAGTTGAGGAATTATCTAGGTCAAGTTGGCCTATGGGCACATCTTGTAAGGGACTTATTAGACAACACAGCCCACGGGACTGTGCCATTTCCTAAGTAGAGGATCCTGACCTGTGTAGGAGTGGGGACAGCAAGGATAAAGAAGCAGACCATGTGGATATGTGTTTCTCTCTGCTCTTGATTGTGATGTGATGTTACTAGTGGCTTGTTTCTTTCCCTTAATGATGGAGTATCACCTGGAATTGTAAACCAAGTAAACCCTTAGCTTACCTAAATTCCCTTTTGTTAAGGGATTTTATCACAGCAACAGAAATGAAGTTAGATTTTTCTATAAAACATATTCTGATTATAGTTTCCTCTACTCCAACTCCTCTCACATTCTCCCCATTTCCCTACCCACTCAAATCCACATTCTTTTTTTTTCTCTCATTAGAAAACAAATAGGGATCTAAAATAACAATGGTAATAAGATAAAATATAAAAAGCAAACCAGAGTAGAACAAAACAAACAACCAAAAAGAGAGCCAAAGAAAAAAGATCAAGAAACACATGTAGAAGTTGAGACATGCACATTCACATAAGCAAACCAAAAAAACCAAAATCCATAAAAACAAAATTGGAAACCATAAATATAAGCAAAAGGTTTGTAAGGTAATGTAATAGGTAAGGTAAAGTAAGAAATGGGGGAGGGGAGGCAGGACAGAGAAGGGGGATGGGAAAGGTGGTAAAGATGGAGGAAGGGAAGATGCCCAGATTTAAAAAACAAAAAACAAAATACGTCCAAAAATACCATTCAGTTCATTTTATGTTTGTTATCTGCTGATGGACATGGTCTGTGCTTAAGTCTGTTTTGTATACCCAGTGAGACTTTATTGGAGAAAACTAACTATTCTTTTTTGAGCAGTTATCAATTGATAGCATCAAGTCTAGGGATGGGGACCTGTGTCCATCTCCTCTCTCAGGAGTGGAGCCCCATCTGGCTTAGACCTGTGAAGACTGTACATGCTGCCAGTCTCCGCGAGTTCATATGTTCATCAACTCCTGCTGTGTCCAGAAGCCATTGTTTCCTTGGTGTACACCATCTACACTGGCTCCTACAATCTTTCCGGCCCAAACCTTTGAGCAAATATGTATACTTGGTAAACATTAACTAAAAGTAAACTGTATAAAATTTAAAGCTAAGAGAAAGAGCATAGATGTTGAAAGCCAGCCACATTATTTGTGAAAAATTTTAGCACCTTTCATCCATACTAGCCGCATAAGCACAACTGGTACAACACATGTAATATTTTGTACCTCATAAGATTGTAAGGACCAAACTAAACAAGGTATGCTTATTCTGTGCCCAGCAAATATTACTTTAGCAGTCTAGCAAGTGATCTGTTCTCAGCACATAGGCTCAAAACCCATGTGGAAGGGTCCATCTGACAGCAGGAATGTACTAGCACTATCTGGAAACATCCAGTCCAATGACATACTTCTTCTCCTCTGCACCTAGTCAGTGCAGAATCTACACTTAACATGCTGCTGGGACTCTGAAGAGCCACCCAAATAAAGATCCCCTACCAAGTACCTGAAACCTCTGGATCACAGTCAGAATGTTCCCTCTGATTCCTTGTCTTACTCTAAGACTGTGGTCCATCTCTATTCTCCTTCCTGGGAAGTCAAGCGTGCAGCCATCATTAGGTTAGTACTGTCCCCCATGGCCAATCTAAATGCATGGGACTCAAGACTCAAAGGCTTGATATGGCTGCTTTCCTCCTCTAACCAGCACATGGAGCCAATGAAAGACCTGAGTTGAACTGATATGTAAGTGGAATCTGAGAAGAACCAGACATAATTTGTTGGGTATGGTGGCACATTTCTTTAACCTTACTAGTATTTGGGAGACAGAGAGTCAGGAGATCAAGGCCATGCTCAGCTACATAGCATGTTTGAGATCTTATTACAAAAGGAAAAAAAGAAACAAAGGAAACATATAACTTACCATTAAATACAAAATATGTCTGTAGTACAGAGGAAAAACAATATTTACCAAGGCCCAGACAGATTGTCTGGCAGAATATACATAAAGAAAATTGTAAGAAATAGTATATTTGACACTTCTGAAATTCAGCAAAATGGTTGCCATTGTTTGTATGTTCTTTTGTAATGTGAGAGTAATAATACTTGACAGGTTACTTTCAACTTTGGTTGTAACTAAGCTGCTATTACATTAGTTGTGACAATTTTCAATAATTTCACTTCTCCAGGAAAAATACTTCATTGAACAAGTTTTGAAATGTACATATGATTCAAGAAAATCTTAGAATCATGGTATCCATCTCCAGATTTCAGAATACTTAAGTGAAATCAGCTTTCCCATCAACTGGGGAACAGTTCACTTGAGGATATTTTGGTTATTGATGAGATGTTAAAATCATCATGTACTTTCAGAAACAAAATTATCCTTCCATGAATTCTATCAAGCACGTGGTGATTGTCAAAGATGTGTATCAAAAATAGCACACCCATTCCTCTCTTGAGTCTCCAGAGAGCACAGGGTTGCTGTGAGGTTGGATCTGGGGTTGGATCTGGGAAAAGCAAGCATGGTTGGAATTAATCTGACAGGTAGTTGAAGAAGACACTAGAATGCTGGCTAATTTTAAGACACTACTATGGGCACATTTATCTGTTTAAGCAATGACTGTTGTGATTTTAAAAGCTGTTCAAGAGAGAAAGACTCCATGTGACAGAGCTCACGTGAAGATGGTTTTTATTAGGGGAAATGGAATGGGGAAAAAGAGGAGATCAGCCTCTGGAGACAGGAGCAGCAGAAGAGAAAAAGCAGGGGTGGGGGATACTCTTTTTTATGGGGGGGTTGTCCTTTCTGTTTCTCTTTTGTTGTTTTTGTTTTAATAGTTTACATATTTGTTTTTCTTATTTTACATATCGATCCCAGTTCCCTCTCCCTCCCTCCTTCTCATGTCCCCCCACCCACCTCCCATCCCATCCCACCCCTCCTACTCCACAGGGAGGGCGCTGCCTTCCAGGAGGGATCAACAAAATCTGTCAAGTCATTTGGAGTAGGGTCTAGGCCCTCCCTCCTGCCTCTAGGCTAAGGGAATGTCCCTCCATGGGGAATGTGTCCCCAAAGCCCTTTCATGCACCGGGGATACATCCTGGTTCCACTGTCAGAGGTCCCTTAGACTGCCCAGGCCTTCTAACTGAGACCGGTGTTCAAGGGGTCTGAGTCAGTCCTATGCTGGTTTCCCAGCTATCAGTCTGGGAGTCCATGAGCTCCCCCTTGTTCAGGTCAATGTCTCTGTGGGTTTCTGTAGCCTGGTCTTGACCCCATCTTCTTTTCTTTTTTTACGGTTTTTTTTTTTTTTTCCCATATGAATCTGCTTAAATAGGTTGGTAGAAAGTTAGAAAACCGATTTGTGAGGTTACATCCTGTTTGTCAGAGAGAACTGAGACCGTGGGTAGCCCTGAAGCTGAGGAACAGCTTTAATCTTTAGCAAAAGCTTCGACCCCACGGTTTTCTGATCAGCCTTGCGGTGCTCTGTAATCTCGTATTTCTCCTTCCCTGTGTCGAAGATCTCACCCTCCTGGTGCCTGGGCTTGCGCAGTTGCTGCTTCTTGAAGTAAGCATCAGTCCAGCGTTTGGGGATCTTAACTTGGCTAATATCAACTTTTGTAGAGGTGGCGATGACAAATTTCTGGTGTGTTCTTCGCTGAGGAACTCTGTTGAGGGCAAGAGGTCCCGTCACAAATAGCAAGCCGCTGCCCAGCTGCTTCAGAAAAACCACCCTCTTGCCTCTGTGGCGCCCAGTGAGAATGATCAGGACGCTCCCGGGAGTGATGCTGGCACGAAGCTTTCCCACATGCTGACTGAAGGGCTTTTTGCCATGGCTCAGCAGCTTCCGAGGAACATCTTCAGTGGGGTAATACTGGGGCATTTTTCAAAGCTTGACCACCCCGGTACCACCATTCTTGTCACCACCAACCGGTTTGGTGACAGTAGCAAGGACCTTCTCCTTTTTCTTCTTCTTTTCAACCTTAGTTTTTGCAGCTGAGTGTTTTGTTTTGTACAGGGCCTTTCTGGAATACATGGCAGATCGGGAGTACCTGCCAATTCCTCTAACCAGGACAGGGTTCCGGCTGCAGTGTAGCCTCCCCTTCTTGGGCTTTTAACCTTAGGGTCACCCGTTTTGGCTGCAGCAGCCGCGGGAGCACCTGCGGCATCACCGCCAGCCTTCTTGGTTTTTCTCTTTTTTTGTCAGGCTTCTCGGCTTTTTCACCCGCCATCTTGCAAGATGGGAAACTAAGGTCCCAGCTTCCGGTCTTAAAGCCTTCACCCCATTTTCTTATCATTCCTCCCTCTCTGCAACTGGATTCCAGGAGTTCTGCTAAGTGTTTAGCTGTGGGTGTCTGCTTCTGTTCCCATCAGCTACTAGATGAGGGCTTATGATGGCATATACATTAGGTATCAATCTCATTATCAGGGAAGGGCATATAAGGTAGCCTCTCCACTGTTGCTCAGATTGTTAGTTGGGATCGTCCGTGTAGGTCTCTGGACATTTCTCTAGAGTCAGTTTTTTCTTCAAACCTATAATGGCTCCCTCTATTGTGATTTCTCTCTCTCTCTCTCTCTCTCTCTCTCTCTCTCTCTCTCTCTCTCTCTCTCTCTGTTTATGTTTTGTTTTGCTTTGTTTGTTGGTGGTAGGTTTTTTTTGTTTGTTTGTTTGTTTTTTGTTTTTGCTCTCATCTATTTGTCCCCCGACTCAGTCTTCCAGTGAACGCTCCTCCTGGTGGAAGGGGGCCCAGTGCTCAGGTGGTCACTCCTTGAGGTGCAGGTGGGGCTACAGCTCTGGTGGACTTTCCTCCCGTTGGAGTTGTAGATGGTGCTGAGTCGATGTAGTAACGGGTTATCTCCCACCGAGAAATGGCAGTGGATGCTGGCTGGGACACAGGTGCTCTTTCCCAGAGGAACTTTTTGCAGTAGTTTCTGGAAGCTACTGCTGGAAAGCACTGCTGTTGCTTTACCCAGTAATCCCTCCTAGCTCCTGAGGCTGAGGCCTCCCCCTCTGGCACTGCTCCCGGTTCTGAGACTTGTGGCTCCCTTGATGCTGCTCCGGGCCTGAAGCTCAGATTTCCTTCTGATACTGCTTCCAGGCTGGGATTTGGGCCTCCCCCCTGATGCTGCTCCAGGGCTCAAGCTCAGGCCCTGAAGCTCCATCCTCCCTCTGAAGCTGCTCCAGGCTCTGGTGCTGCTCCCAGGTCTGAGCTCATGGCTCCCATGACACTACTCTGGGCCTGAAGCACAGGCTTTCCTCTAATGCTGCTTCCGGGCTGGGATTTGGGCTGCTCCCTAGCTCTGCTCAGGGCCTGTAGCTTGAACCTACCTCTGACTCTGCTCCTGGGTCTGAGGCTGCTTCTGGTTCTGAGGCTCGTGGCTCCCCCAAAGGTACTCCGGCCCACCACCTGGTGGAGAGGTGAGGGAGGAAAATGAATGTTGTTTGAAAATGTCATAATAAAATCTAATACTTTGTATCTTTGTATGCTAATTTATAGTCTTAAAAAAATAAATAAAATACTGAAGGAGGAATCGTGATGCTGGCTGGAAAGCCACAACATTAAAAAAGGCTTGCTTTCCACAGAACATGTTTGAAACCTACAACCTTATTCACACAATAGTAGTACATTTCTACGTTTCAACAACTTATTTGTTAGCATGAATTTACTAACATAGAAGGCACATTTCACAGTTGTGTGCTATTACTTGACAGTTTTAAAGCCATCATGGTTTTTTTCTCTCCCCCCCCAATTTATTTTTGGGTAATGATGAAATGTAACTTGGCTTGCTGGTCACCCAAGGCAGAGGGAAAGTCTTCGGAATTTCAGAACTAATTCTGTTACATTTGTTTTTTCTTTCAACCCAAGTTGTAGTCAATTATCTAAATGTTTTGTCTTCCACTTAATAAAGGGTTTAATAGGTGAATCTATACATTCACCGTTTAATCTTATTTTAATGCATTTCCATTGGTATGCTAATTCCCTTAAGGGATATATAATTAATTTAACTCAGCATGTTTGGACGCTTTTCCCACGAATGTGATGTTGAGCCTTAAATTTGGTTATGTACCTCTGTTCTTTTTATTAATTTTTGAAGATATTATATGAAGCAGTGGGTTTCCTTGGGCTTTTTCATACAAATCTTGTTCTTACTATCTGTTTTCTTAACCCTTCTAAACCTCATGTCCCCTAATAACCCCTTAAAGGGATGGCAGCAGGAAACTTGGCCCAGGCAGTTAGTATAGTACATATGAAAACAGTCATCTTGGTTCCTAGGACCCAATGTTAAAGAGAATAACCTGGGGTTTGATACAGCTAACCTTAGGTTATCGGTTGGATCAGCGTTTGTAAGCTCTTATCTACCATGAAGTTTATTGCTATAGAGTCAAAAGTCAGAAGCTCCACCACTTGACACAGCCACATCTCTCCAGGAGAATTTTGAAAGTAGAAAGACTTGTATAGGTCTCAGTGTTGTTACTTCCTCATCTTCAAAACCACTTGAGTGACACTCCAAAGCTAAAACATTGGCCATCCCAGAAGGGACAAAGTAGGGAGTACTGACAGGGTGGGAGGATCTGGTCAGCTGGCAGACTGAAAAAGTATGATGTTATAAATTCACATCTCTAATAAGTAACACTTTACCAGTGTATCCTCCCATTTTATTGGTTGCTGTAATTCTCTTAGACATTTCATAGCTGCCTGCATGCTTGACCTTGTGTTCACTCATTGCTCTTCATTGTCTTGAGTAGATCTGGGTTGTTACCTGGTATTATGTTTAATCTGCCTGATATACTCTAATATTAATTAAGATGCCATAAAAGTACTGACAAATGAATATATGAATATATATAAAACTCTAGGTGAAAGACACTGGACACAAAAAATTTTTAAAGCATGGAAGAAGTGCTGACAAAATATCAAAGTCACAACAGTTGATATTCTGAAAAGAACTCCAGTGGCACAATAAATAATCCCAAGAACTGAGAAATGGAATTATATAAAGTTACAAAGCTACCTTGCAGCAAAGGAAATATTCACCACAGTGAAAAGACAGCCTATAGAATGCAAATATACCTTTGCCAACTACACATCAAACATGAGATTATTATCTAGAATATATAAAGAACAACAAAAACTAAACCTTCAAATTCCTAATCATCCAATCAGTAAATAGGCTGATGAACTGAATAGTTGGTTCTCAAGAGAAGAAATGCAGGAGCTGGAGAGATTGCTCCATGGTAACAAATGCCTGCTATTCTTCCACAGGACCTGCCTGGTTCCCAGCACCCACCTCAGGTGGCTCATAACTGTTTCTAATTCCAGTTACACACACAGAGGGGGGGGAGAGGAGAGGGAATGATAAGATGTAATAAATACATAAATACAAACTGCTAAGTCCATTTGGTGTTGCACGTATGATTTCAGGGCTGACCATTTTGTATTGAAAAACCAATTAGAGGGCTCATCTCTGGGAAAGACTGAATTCTTCCTCTTCTGGAAGTCATTAGTCTGAGGGGCCCCCTGTGAGATTCCCCCACATAAGATGACTGTTGGTGTTGCTATTATTCAGATCTTTTTTAGGCAGTCATTATGTGGAAATAATGTGGGTCATTCCTTGACATTTCTGAGAGACACAGTCACAGAGCAGACTTCCTGGTCCTCTGGCTCTTGCAGTCTTTTCACCCCCTCTTCTTCGGTGTTTCCTAAGCCTTAGGTACAAATTGTGTTGCTGATGTATCATCCACTGGGGTTGGTCTTCCCTGGATCAGTTGATTATAACCTTTGTGGTTAACTGTAATGGTCTCTATTAGATCTATACTTACCTGTGAGTACAAGGGTAAGTTTGAGAAGGCAATTGGGCATTATACTTGGCCTAGTGAAGTGGGGGTAGTAGGTTCTCCTCTAAGACAAATGACCTCACTAGTTCTGGGTGTTTAAATGATAATATGAAATGACAGATTACTGCTGTGATGGAGTTGCTATTGAAAGTGACCAGCCAGGAGGGTGGGAGATAAATGGCTATAGAAGGGGTTTTCAGTTAATGCCAAAACTATGTCTTCCATCAGATTATATACATTGTCTCTATGAGTATGCTATATTATATAAAGGAAATAAAGTTTTAGAATATGTATAGCAGAACCCAAATAGGTCTGGTGTTTTGTGTTGAGGGATATAGAGATACACATACACATTTATTGTTGTATTATTCTCAGTGTATTTCCACACTTAGAAAAATATATAACAATGTATTTACAGTGTATCTATGAAAAAAAATATTTTTTACTTTTACTTCTTAAATGCTTCTGTTGCCTGAATTTTATATTTCCTATCATCATTTTGAGAATAAAACATTTTTAAATGATACTAGATATAGATATATTTGCCAAAAATACAAACTGAATCAAGAACATTTTCCCCAAGGTTTCAGAAGCAAATGGATCATAGTTTTTCTCTGTGAGACTTAAATGAAGTTATACTTTAAAAGTAATATGCTGACTCTCCCTATACAAAGCACATATTACAGTAAGAATGACATTTTAAATTGTGAAGACTTCACCAAAGGTTTCTGTTGTAAACTGTTACTTTACACTGGAAATTGCAAACAGCATGATTTATAAGACTTTGGGAAATCAAGAGTCTCCAATTCAAGTATTCATTGATCATTAATACACATCTGTCTAGGACTTAAAGAGATGACAGCAAAGATCTGATCATTCTAGAAAGAACACTGTTCAGACCAAAAAAACAGGTCTGTCTTGGTGAAACAGTGAGTTTGTTGAGGTTACTTAGAGGACCATAGGTAAGTGGGGGTGATTAACTGGATGACTCAAATGCAGCTCCAGCACTAAATAGCCCACCCACCATGCCAGTGACTCACACAAACCATATCATTGGAGGCCCCTGCAGACGGCTCTCCTAATTGTGGGGTCTCCTCTCCCTAATAATTTTATTTTTTTTTCCTTTTATAACCTTCAGGATCCTCCTGAGCTTTGTAAATTTCATTTCCTTTTACTGAGTCTTATGAGCCTTCTCCAGGAGAAAATACTGCAATTTGACAGGAGAGCTACACATCTAAAGTGTTACTCCAGTAACTTAAAATGCAAGGCAGAGTGGGTGACAGTGGAGACATGAAGGAGGGATGGATGTAGAAATTCCACATTAAAGAAGACAGAGCAAGTCTCACCCCATCCAGTAATCCCAGAATTTTACATGTAGTATCTGGGAAGATCGAGCACAGCTGTTGCCTCCCAGCTCTGATTTTAACTGAATTCCTCTTGTCTGTCACACAGCAATCAGCAAGCCTTTTTACTGGAGAATGTTCCATGCAATAATGCAAGCTGTGAGGATGCACATCGGATGTTTAAAGTCTACTGGGACCTAGCAGGCCTAAATCTAATCAAAGATGCCATGGTTGCCACCTTTTTTGATATCTATGAAGATGTGAGTTCAGAACTGTCCTGTGTGTTTAGAGTTTAATTGCATCTATGTCGTTCTCACTGTAACTTCATATCTTTTACCAGAAAATGGAATGAGAATGATTCATTAAAGAAAATCCCTTTTAAAGTTAAATGGGGTAGGGGCTGACTAATGATAGTAATAGTTGATCTCTGTAGTTGAATGTGAAAATGTTATTGCTTCTTCTGCTTATTTGGAATAAACTGCTACAGAATTGTGCTGTAAGACTAGCAATCTCCATGTTTATCAGCTGACCAAAAGCAGAACCAACAGGTTCCTGCACAGACAGCAGAGTGTATTCACTACGCTTGTAAACTGGAAGAAAGCATCTCTACTGCCACTTTTATGGCTCTGTCACTAGTTGCCAAGTGAGCTGGTAGAAGGCTCTGTAGGTACCTGGCATCCACCTTTCTAAAGAGAAAGCTAGTTTACTACTTAGAAGAAGAAGAAAAGGCTCTTGAAGAATATAATCTATCCACGTATATCCTTGCAAGATGGTTTACTATAGAAAGTAAAAGCCTATCAGGACATTTATGTCTTCATTAACCTTTTCATTTTGTTGTTCTACTTAGTGGTGAGTTGTTGGTACCCACATTTCCTTCTGCTTTTCCTGCTGCCAAATCTCATTTCATTTTTCATTAGCAGTTTCCAAGCATAAAAGTAATTGGTAGAAATATAAAAGAGGAAAAAAATCAACAAAACTGCCTACAAATCAATTTTTTTAATTTCTATACATCAAAAGGATAGTAGATGAAATTTTATTTTTAAATATGTAAAATAGAAATGCTACAAGTAAGTGAAATAATTAATATCCTTAATGTAAAAATATCCATAGAAACTGGTGCATCACCAAAACTCTCTAGAAAAATATAGTCAGTATACGGGGGGGGGAGGGGGGATGTTAGTAACATTTATAAAATGAGAATGAGTAGCATCATGATGCAGAAGAGTGTCAGCTTTAAATGACTGTATGTTTTTCTTCAATAGAGTAAGCTGAATTTCTGCTTGTTAAAGAGGGAGGGGGAGAAAGTGGTACCAGTCAGTGCCACAAGTACCACAACAGGGAACTTGGCCATATTTGCAGAGGATCTGAAAATCCCTGCACAAATCCCTACTCCATGTAAAAAGTGTGTGCTCCAAAAGTCTGGAAACATGAGTTGGATCCCCAACACCCACTGTGAAAACAAGAATTACTTCCTAAAAGTTGTCCTTGACTTCCACATTACACTCCCCATCCCCCATACACACACACACACACACACACACACACAGTAATGAATCTAAAAATGAAATTTTAGGGCTGAGTTGGTGGCACACACCTTTAATTCCAATATGCTTGAAGCAGAGGCAGGTGGATTTTTGTGAGTCTGATCTACAAACTTAGTTAGCCAGTTTCAGGCCAGCCAAGGTTACATAGTGAGACCAGAAGGAAATATACCCAAATGCTAACAATTACTTCCCAGGACTTATTTATGTTTATTTCCTATTCAATTTGTGTGCATACATTTTCAGTGAACTTATTTGAAACATCACTCTACTAAGGTACAGGTGACAAGCTACCCAAGAAAATTAACTTAAGAGGATGAGGGGTTTCGGTTCACAGACACTAAAACCCGTCACTAAAACCCGTCTCTTGGCCCATGTGGCATAGTACATCATGGCAGGAGTACATGGTGAAGGAGGCCAGCTCACCTGTGGTAGCCTAGCAGCAGCAGCAGCAGCAGAGAGAGAGAGAGAGAGAGAGAGAGAGAGAGAGAGAGAGAGAGAGAGTGAGAGAGAGAGAGACTGAGACTGGAAGATGCTGATGTCACAAACTATACCACAAGTCACCCCAGTGGTCTTTTTCATTCACCTAGTAGTTTCTCTTAATTTTTTTCCCCCTCAGGGAATCTTGGACATTATAGTACTCAGTAAAGGATACATCAAGAATGATGTTGCCATTCATACACTCAAAAATAACTTTGAAGCAGATGCTTATTTTGTTAAAGTCATTGGTGAGTATTTTAGATGTTATCATTCGTCTTGTTTTCCTCCCACCTTCTCTTTTCTCTCTCTCCCCTTCTCCTCACTTCCTGATACCAGTGTGCTCCTGTGTAATGCATGTACAGCCGTCCAGATCAGGAAATGAACTTCAGCAGAACATCGTGCTGGCTATACATAGGCCCCATTCAGATATACCAGCTGTCCCAACAATGACTCTCTTTCCCCTCTAGTTTAGTATTCTGCCCAGGATATGTTGAGTTTTTCACATCTTTCCAGACTTCCTCAATCTAGGACACTTTTTCAGTCATTTTCTATTTTTAACTTCATTGGTTTTAAAGAATTCAAATTTTATATTGTTAGATAATTGTATTTCCTGACTATCTAGCTCAAGTTACCCATTTTTTGGCAAAACTCCACAGCAAACTCTGCACTTCCAGGTCATTGGCTAGACCAGGAGGCACATGGTGCAATACTGCTCACCTGCTCACAGAGATGGACAGTTTTGGTGTTTTATATGTGTATGCATGTTTTATGCCATATGTGTGCCTAATGCCCTCAGAGATAAGAAGAGGGGATTGGATCTTCTTGGAGGAATTTGTGAGTCACATGTTGGTGCCAGGAACAGAACCTGGCCCTCTGAGAACAAGTTCCCCTAACCACTGAGCTGTCTCTCCGCCCTGAGATGATCTGCTTCTGTTTATTTGTTAATTGATTTATTTTTATTTTATGTGCAGTGGTGTTTTGACTGCATGTATGTCTGTCTGTGTGAGTGTCAGATCCCCTGGGAGTGGAGTCACAGAAGCTGTGAGCTGCTGTGTGCATGCTGGGAACTGAACCTGCATCCTCTGGAAGAGCAGCCAGTGCTCTCAACTGCAAAGACATTTCTCCAGCCCTGAGATGACCAGTTTCATCTCTTCTCCATTCACTGTTTTCCCTTCCCTATCCTACACACAGAGTAGGACATTACTTGTATTCTTTTTGAATCAAACTTTTACCCGCTACCACTGAAGGCTATTGATAACTCCTGCCTCAGCCTTTGTCAAATAATGATTCTGCTCTGCCATCATTCTTTCTACATAATTTTTACATTTATTATGTTGTATGTGTACATGCATGTGTGTGTGCATCCATGTATCTGTACCACATGCATGCAGGAAACCTCAGAGGTCAGAAGAGGGTTCTGATGGTCCCCTAGAACTGGAGTTACAGTTGTAAACCACCATGTGTGTGCTGGGAACCAAACACATACATCTGCTAAGCTCTTCCCCCCACCCTTCTTCACTCATAGACTGGCATGCAGAATTCATTTATACAGCACTTACCCTGATCCTTGAATCACACACAATTCTCCATGCATGTAAAACCCGGGTTCTGAATGCTTGGTGCACCTGTTAGGGTTTGTCATTTCTTCCAGGCTCCTTTTGGAATAAAGTAAGAAAATGGAAGGCAGGCTTCACATTCATATCCATCTAGTCATATGGATTCAAGCCACTGTACTTCCATTTTTAATCCAACACAGTACTTTCAAGTTCTTTCCAGTCTCTCCATGTGCATCCTCATCCTCTGTAGCAGTGAGAATTTCGCCTGTCACTTCCCTGTGCGGTCTCTTCCCTGTAACCAGCTCCTTGCAGGCACCTGTCTCATTGCTGTCTGTGCTCATAAAGGCCTTGTGTATTTTATTACGTGAGTGCTTACATTCTCTGGAAAGACTTTAAATACTGCTGTTGTGTTTTCTGTTTGGTTTTTACACACTCGTTTTTAGTATGTAGAAATAAACATTTGAGTGCAGCCACATTGGACTCACTTCTTAATTCTAGGAAGGTATTTTTTAAATAGTTTCAGGGAGATTTTTTTTTTTTTTATAGACAGCCATTTGCAAAGAGGAACACTTTTCTTTCTCCAGTCTCTAAGCCTTTTGTGGTTTTATCGTGCTAGCTAGGAGAGTGAGAGTGGACATCTTTGCCTTCTTCCCCTCATAAGCATCACATTTGACCATTATGCATATTAGCTGTACAAGGACTCCTCCTTGGGTCACATTTAAAATGTTCACTTCCTTTCTTGTGTACTGAGAGTTTTATATCAATAATTGGAAGATGGCTTCTTTTTTTTTTTTTAATGCTATTAGAGTTGATCTCTGAACTCCCCATATACACTGTCACATAGATATCTGCAACCACACACATAAATATATATGTAAACAGGTTTTGATGTTTTTTAAATTAGTTTTTAAAGATATATAGGTATAAAGTGAAATTTGATTTGCTCAGAAAGTTAAATATTTCCTCTCCGTGATCATAAGTCAGTGAATGTATTAATAGACTTTGGGAGGTGAGTAGATCTTTAAAAAATATGTAAGCTTATAAAAGAAATAATAGGCTGTTCTTTTTCTTTCCACAGTTCTTAGTGGTCTATGTTCTAATGACTGTCCTCGTAAGATAACAGTAAGTAAACTTAACTCTCCAGCACAAATATTTCTGTGAAATTTTCTTCAGGGACCTAGAGAAGTGGATCAGTGCTTAAGAGCATTTGCTACTCTTGCAGAGAGCCCAGGTTCAATCTCAGCAGCCATCTGTACTCTTCTTCTAGGGATCTGAAACTCTCTCGAGGGCTCCTCAGGTACTATATACACATGGTGCACATACATACATGCAGGCAAAAACTCATACACAGAAAGTCAATATATAAATAATCGTTTTTCATTATCTTGAGATCGATAAATATACACAAAAAAGTCATAGGTTATAATCAAAGTTCTTATTCATGTTTGGTACTTATTAAAATATTGATTATTACTCAAGAAAACTGCTAGATTCTGGTACCTTTCCATAAAAATTTACCACTATACAACTGAGGATATAGCTCAATTAGTAGAAGGCTTGCTACCTAGCACAAGCCTTGAGTTTGATCTTCAGTACTACAGAAAGCCAGGTATGGTGGTACATAATCCCATACACAGTAGGTAAAGCCAGGGGGAATCAGAAGTTCAAAATCATCTTCAAGTGCATAGCAAGTTTAAGGGCAGCCTGTGATATAGAAAACTGTATATCAAAACAAACAAAACAATAAACAAACTTCTGCATAAGGATGACACCCTCCCATTGCTTCACACTTCGTTTCTTAGATTAGATGCCTATATACAATAGAGTGCATCCCTAAAGAAACTATTACTCATCTTTGTATAACTGATAGAGAGCACAGAATCAAGCACATTCTAGACAGCATCAGTGTGTGTGTGTGTGTGTGTGTGTGTGTGTGTGTGTGTGTGTGGTGACAGGGCAGGCACCGTGGAAGTCTGCAAACAACCTCCAGAGTTTTTTTCTCACCTTCCCATCTTGTTGGAGAGCTGGTGTCTCTTGTTTTGCCACTGTGTCACATACTCCGGGCTAACTGGCCCAAGTGCTTCTGGGAATTCTCCTAGCTCTGCCTTTCATCTTGCCAAAGGAGTACTAGGATTATAGACAGTAAGCACTGCATCTGGCTTTTACAGGAGTCTGAACTCACTTCTTATGGCTTGCAAGACTTTCACCCACTGAGCAATCTCCACAGCCTCAAAAATAATTTTTTTTTTTTTGGCTTAAGGAGGGAAGTATATATTTTGTTTCACTGTTTCCAAGGTATGAGGCCATGGGGGTAGGAGAGTGTAAAGGCAATATTCTCCTGGCCTTCTTGTTTGTTCACTTTTTTTTGTAATTTTTTTATTTAATTTATTATTTTACGTCGGTCCCAGTTCCCTCTCTCTCCCTCCCTCCTCCCCTCCCTCCCTTTTATCCTCTCTGCCCCCTCACATGCACCCTGACAACCCTCCCCTCCCTTCCCCCCACCCCAATTCCACATGTAGGGCAATGCCATCCAGGTGAGGTCATGTAGACCTGACCTTAACCACTATATAGAGAGAGAAAAGTTAGATTTTCCCAAGTCTTGGAGTCATGTCAGAAATTTCAACTCAAAGCTAGATGTTTTGATTATAGTCTCAGATCCTCACAATTCATTTAAAGCACTACAATTCCAGTACTTTCATGTGTATATATAGTTCTGAAACTTCTATAATCAAGATATCTTGACTGTAGTTTGGAACAATAACTATGAAGTAGTGAGGAAAGTAGGGTTGGCAAAAAGAGAGAGAGAGATTGGTTTACAGTCATGGAGAGACCTAAAATTGAGGTGATTCTTCAGACAGCCTCAACTGAGGCAGAGGGCAAGTGCTCTCATCTCCTACAGTAATCGGTATTACCCTCAGACATACGACACAGCTCCCTTTAGCTGAGTAGAGTCCAGCTATGAACTAGCTGCAGAATTCAGGAAGTAAGTACCTTAGTTCTGAGACACAGGCCTAAATGAAGCACCGATACGTCCTCTGCCAATCCTGAGGCATTTTCTACACGCTAAGGATGAATACACAAATGCAACAGTAGGTCTAAACTTTAAAAGTAGATTAAGCTGCATCTATTAGAGTAGATGCTGCTGCTGTATTCCCAGTACAGTTGGAGGAGTTAAGAAGAAAAGATGTCATCCATAGCAAGTCTGTAATTGTGTTAAAACTAGATGACAAATACATGAAAAACTTTTGGTTTGTCATCAGTAGAACCTATATTCATAAAAACACAAAGAAGACAACAGGGATTAAAACATGAACATTGAAAGAAAGATGATCCCCCCCTCTCTCTGTCTCCTGCCTCCTCCTTCCCCTTCCTTTTCCTTCCTCATTGTTCTCTCTTCTTTCTCCTCACTCACTCTCCTCCTCTTTTTCTTCTTCTTTATCCCTTGCCCCCCAACTCCTCTCAGTAGGGTCTCATGTACCTAGGCTATCTTCAAGTCTGACCTTCCTAACTCCACCATCTGTATGCAGGGTTACAGATACACACCACCATGCTCTTTGTGTGGTGCTGGGAATCAAACCCAGGACCTTATGAGTCCTTGGCAAGCATTCTACCAGATGAGCCACAGCCCAGCTCAAGCTTTCTCTTTCATTTTTGAAGGACATTTTTGCTAAGATCACTAATATTTTCTTTTTTTGATAAGTATTCAAGCAAAAATTTCTCAAGCATTTGTTAATAGGACGTTTATTACAATCTATAGTTTGTGTCCTTTTTGATTAGAGTTGATTTCAAAGAGAAGAAATCTATCATTTTATTTGAAGTTTAAAGACAAGTCTATAAATAGAAAATGATAAGTTGAGAAAAACTATCAATCTGATTAGGCTTGCAGTTTCTCAGGGAAAACTGGAAGTAATTTTCTCTAAATGTGTAAAAGATTACATGTGATAGGACTAAAAGTCAGTATTTTCACTATTATAATTATGAATCGAATTTATCATTTGTGTGCATTAGTAAGAAATTGTATCATATTCCTAATTCAGAATGAATATAACAAGATGGGTGTGATGGTACACACTTTAAATCCCAGCTCTTGGAAGGCAAAGGCAGGCAGATTTGAATATAAGACCAGCCTGGGCTGCATAGTGAATTCCAGATCATCCAAGGCTATGTAGAAAGACCTTGTCTCAAAAAATCAAAAAGAGGAGAGGATGAGGAAACTGGGATTGATATGTAAAACAAGCTTGTTGCAAATTTAAATTTAAAAAAAAAATATCAAAAGGAGGAGGAAGAAAAGGGGGAAGAGGACAAAAGAAGAAATACAGTGAAATACAATGTTTTCAGGTTTGAGGGTTTCTCAGTGCTAGTAATTGAACTCAGAGAGTTTCAAGTACTTTATACCACAACCTGCATCCCTCACTGTGAAACTCTTGTAGTTTTGTTCCCTATGAAACCAGAATAGTAAAGAAAAGTTTGCTTACAACATTTACCCCTATAAAGTGGAAACATTAGGTCTTTAAAATACTCAGTTAAAATTCTGAACTATATAAATGCAACTATCAAATAATATAAGGTATTAGGACTTTTCTACTATGATATGGCTTAGCATGTAAAGACCAAGCCTGATGACCTGAGTTTGATCTCCAGGATCCATGTGGTGGAAGAGAAAACCACCTCCTGCAGGTTGTCCTCTAATCTCCAAACAGGCACTGTGACACTCAAAATACCTGCACACAAACACACATAATAATTAACTGTAATTTTAATAATTTTCCACTAACCAGGTGTAACCGTCGTCTGTTTATAGAAATGTTCTTTTGGGTAGCTAATGGCTATTTAAGATATATACATGAGAATTGGTTTGTGTATGCCATGTACTCACTTATAAGAAGACATTAGCTGTAAAGTAACAGAATGATGCTATAATCAATCCACAGACACTGAGAGGCTGAGTAACAAGGAGAGCTCAAGGGGGGGATACATGGATCTTCCTGGGAAGGGGAAAAGGATGTTAAAGGTGGACTGGGGCCAGGTATGGGTAGGAACAGACAGGATTAGGTGGCTAGCAGGGCAAGTACTGGGAGAGATAACTGGAATTAGGAGGCTTTTCAAGGGCGAAATGCAATTGATACTCCCACAAATCCATGATGATGACCCTAGTAATAGGGGATAGGGAGCCTGAAGCAGCCATCTTAGGTAACCAGACCTATGTCTAGCATAATTGTCATCAGAAAAGATTCACCCAGGAACTGATAGGAGCAGTTGCAGAGACCCACAGCAAATCATGAGGCAGAGCTCAGAGAATCCTGTAATGAAAGTGGAGTGGGGCATTGGGGCCTTTGGAGCTAGAAGGGGAGAGCCAGGTTGAAAATGTCTAAGAATAAATAAATGTTCTTCATTTTTGACTTTGAGATTTTTGTTTTTTTAACTATATAATACATTTTCTTGAAATGTAAATCATTCACTTGCTTTCCAAGACCAATTATTTCCTTTCTTACTGCAGCCCTTTGGAGTGAATCAGCCTGGACCTTATATTATGTACACAACAGTTGATGCAAACGGATATCTAAAAAATGGCTCAGGTAAGGCTCTGTGGGGTATCTACAACATGTAAGGCATCTTCTTTCAACATATAGGAAAAACAAGCTGCTATCAAGTCATGCATCACAACTCTGAACAAAATTGTCTTTATTGCAATAAAGACATACATTAACAAATATCAAGAGCCATTCAGAACAAAAAATGTCAACATTGATTTCTTCGTTTATTATTACTGTGATGAACCAAACCCATTATCCTTTTCAGCTGAAATAACAGAAAATGAGCGGTAACTTGAGTTACCTTAAAGATGACTTGGTATATCATATAAATTATCTCATTTTAAGAGAAGTGAAATTAGAAATCAATTAATACTACAAATCTAAACTAATCCTATGTTTTCAAATGTGTAATAAGAGATTTAAAATTTAGATAGATGTTTTTAATGTAATTTTATAAATGCACAGTTTACTACTTGTACATTGCAATAACTACTGTAGAGAAATTCAGTTCAGACAAAAGAAAAAAGACTGTAAGTGTGATTGACACCTGAGATTCCTTCCAAATTACAGTAACTCCAACTACCTGCCTAAAGAATAAAATCCCAACTTTGTGTGATCTCTTGAGAATCCTAGAGTTTTGCACATAAACAGGCTTGCTACAATAGGCAAAAAGAATGTTTTATATTATAATTTTGTATTATATAATGAGCTTACATAAATTAAATGTACTACAATGAGTTTATTTTGTAGCTAATTATAAACATTTAAGAATTCATTGTGGTGGGTATGGTGGCACTTGCCTTTATTTCTCTAACCCTAGCATTCAGAAAGCAGAGGCAAGCAGAGAATTCTCTGTCAGTTCCAGGCTAGTATGTCTGCAAAGTGAGTTCCAAGACAGCCAGTCACATGTAGACAAACCCTGTCTCAGAGACAAACCGAGAGGGGGGAGGGGGAGGGAGAGATCAATGTATTGCCACTTCAGCATATAAGCATTCTGTAAACAAACAAAAACAAACAAACAAAAAAAAAACTTAAGGAACATTCCGATAAGAGAGTCAAATATTTTGATGTATTACTACAAGAAAGAAGTCATTTAAGTTTTAATTCCTGTATATACATTTTTCTTGTCTGTTAATCTTTTCTTAATATCAAATAATTTCACTGCCAGACTTATTTATTTCACAATGCTGGTAAAAAAAAAAAAAGGGGGGGGGGGCAAAATAGCACACTCCAGATCCAAAACTTACCTCTACTGGGGAATTATCAGTGAAACTAATATCTACACATCAGCAACTTAAATCCATTTACACTTCAAAAACTACTTATTTCACACCATCAAAAGGGTGATTGTCTCAGGACTGTGTTATTAATTTTAAAATGAGAAAATCTCTTATCATGGCTGTATACCAATATCTTAAAGTGCTGTATTGTCCCATTCTTTTCCTTAAAAGTATATGGCAAATATATCTTTATATACATATCCACAAGGAGTCCTGATTTCTTCTGGGCTTTTTTGTTATTGAGATAAGTATCTATGCTGGCCAGCCCTCTACTGTGTTTGCATCTTCACTGCAGTAAAACAATGCAACTGTAAACATCTGTTGGGAGCACTGTGGAAAGCACATAAAACAATAGGTTAGACATAGAAAAAAACTGAGGACATATGAATGTCGTGTCCAGTCGATAGAAATGTACTAGCAAGTTGGTACTGTTACAGGTACAGTGCATGAGTACAATTTGAGGCTGCTCCCCAGTACTCAAAATGAAATACTTGAGCACTGACAGCTAGAAGTACATCCATGGGAGAATCCATGGTGGTCCTGCCCAGAAAGTACCACAGTATAGCTCAAACCAGGGTTCTCTTCTCAGTGTATATTTTCATTGTTCATTATAGTAAGGATATGCTCATATAAGCCTGAGTGTACATTGAATATAGCCCTATTGTACTCACAACTCTCTCCATATAATGATTCCCCTAGACAGGATTGCTTCTACTGTCATGACATATATAAAAGCAACATTGTATAAAACCAAAGAAGCACAAAATGACAGGCTTAATTCATGTAATATGATTATCTCCACTTGTTTCCACTTGACTATAAACAACATAACATCATGGCTGGAAAAATCCATTATGTATAAATAGCATATTACCTTCACCCATTCATTATTTTGGTTGGTTCCATAGTTTAATTCTTGTGAAAAGATCAGTAATAAACATTCATGTGCAACAAAGATCTCTGTGAATTTATTGACTTGGAATTCTTTGGATAAAGTGTGAGGCCCGAGCTCTATGGTAGTTCTAGTTTTAGTTTTTTGAGGAACCTCGATACTGATTTCTGTAGTGGCTGGCCTAGTTACATTTCCACCAGAAGACCAAGTATTCTGTTTTGTCCACATCCTCGCCAGAACATTTGTTATTTTCTACTTCAGTTAAAGTTTCTTTTGTGGAATTTGCTGTTACTCCAATGAGATTGCCTTTATATATTACTTCTTTCTCTTGGAGCTTTCAGGCAGGATGTGTCCTTTGTTTTATATATTTAGTGTTTTGGCTGTGGTATGAAGGAGGTTTTTCTCTGGTAGTTTGTGTTTAGTATTCTAAATTCTTCCTGGATAGACACCTTTTTATCTAGATTTAGGAAATCTATTATTTCATTGAATAATGGGTTTTCCCATCAAAGTCTAACAAGGCTTTAAGGGTCAAATGGCCATAACTTGAGGATGTTTTCTATGCCATTAATATGAAGTACTCTTTCTATGCCTGTGAGTCATAAATTTGATCTTCTACAGTTCCCCATAGATCTTGAATGTCCTGTTCATAGTTGATCTTGGCCATCGTGTAAATGTTCAACCCTTCTACCTTGTGGTTCTTGCTTGCTTTGTGGTTCAGGTCTTGACTCTGAGCATTCCTTTTTGTCTCCATGATGGCTGTCACACTCCCGAGCAGTTCTTTGTAAAGACATCACAGATGTTGATCCCATTAGTGGGCAGCTTTTCACAGGCCAGAACATAAAGGCTGGCCATGCCAGTGGTCTCATTATGAATACTGTACCCACCCCTGAGAAGTCCTTCAGGGTGTCAGGAGTGCCTGTGTTGCCATACAGACTCTTGCTTCAACCAGATTTCCACCTGGCTGAACATTGTGTGCAGAGCTAACTCCATAGTCTAGAGGCAGGAGTAGCTCTCCAGACAACATCTACCCCTCCAGGATGGACACTAGCTTTTTTCTTATTGTTGTCCTTTGTAAGGTTTCCAATTTTACTTTGCTATTAAACTAGATTTAGGACCATTACTCATCTTTCTATGGCTGTTGTCCAACTTTCTCCAGTGTACTCCCTAAAGATTCTAGCATACTATGCCTGTCATCTGCCATTTTCCAAAATAACCCTTCAATCTAATTTCTAGTAAAATATTTACAGTCAATATAGAGCCTAATGCTGAAAGAAAAAATGTCACATGACATCTTTGGGAATAGGAGATGAGAAAAAAAAAAAAACATTACTTATCTCCACTAACAATGTATATCTATACTCTGTTGAAATAATCCCTCTACTATATAAATATGTTTAGTATGAAATAATCTGATTGTGTCTCACTTTGCCCTTAACACTGCTTGTATGTTCCTTTTTGTTGTAGTAGTTCAGGGTTTGGTTATTGTCAGTATACCATGCAGAGCAGCTATGTGCTACAGTAAAGATTGAAATCACAGACTTAATAGTGTATAGAACTCCCTGAAGCATAGGAAGCACTCAGCATACATAGGCATGAGATTATTTTTTACTGCAATTAACTGTAAGTAATGCCAATGTAAAGAGTCATTTCCTATAAACTGAGCTTTAAAAGGAAGTAGAATAAGCTTGTATATTACAAAATAACAATCATCCATCACCTTTATTAATTTTTTACCTTTATCTTAAGTTTATTAGAAACATAGTATTACAGTTAAATAAGGTATTCAACTAAATTTTAAAACGTAAAATAAGGGGAAATTACTAATTGAATTGTATTGTTCATTATCTTACTGGTGGGCATCTGAGATTTCAATCTGGCTCTACCATGAAGCAGATTCTGTATTTTGTTTCCTTATGCATTGTGCATTACAAACTTGGCAGTAACATACATATCAATGCAAACAACAGAATCAGAGGCAAAAATGAAATACCATAGTACAGACTTGTTCACTATGCCTACACAGCATAGTGCCTATAGCTCCCATATACTGACCAAATCATGGGTCTGTATTTTCTCTTGTTCTTTTCACTTCTGGCCTACTTCTCTGTGGTATGTTGACTTGCCATCTCATACTCTGTGTGTGTGTGTGTGTGTGTGTGTGTGTGTGTGTGTGTGTGTGTGTGTGTATGCACCATCCCACGGTGTTATAATGGGCCATATGGCAGTTCTGTTTTCAGTTTGGGGATTTGTTTTTTTTGGGGGGGGTGAGAATGATTTATGAGAATGATTTCCATAGTTGCTCTTTCACCAGATCTCTCACAGTAGTTGTCATTTGTTTTCTTTGTTATTGTTAATGTTTTATATACACACCTGCTAAGTTCATTTACTGTTGCTTACATGTATATGTCTTTAGGACTGGCCCCTTGATATTGGTTAATCAATTAGGGGCCCATCCCTGTCCCTCATAAGTCATTAATTACTGTAATTCTTTATCTGGAGTTGGAGCCTTGTGATACGTCCCCTATCCATGTTGACATGTCAGCTGGTGTTGCACTGGCCCAGTCTTATTTAGGCTACTATATTGCTGAGATTTTATAGGTATACCTTTCCTGACCTATATAGAAGACAGCAGATGTCCTATTTCTTGATAATAGCCATTCTGACCAGAATTAAGGTAGAATCTTAGAGTAGGTTTAATTTGCGTTTCTCTGATAACTGAAAATGTTGGAACACTTCTTTGAGGTTTTTATTGGCCATTTGTAATTCTATGAGAAGCTTACTCATTTCATTGGTCCATTTATTGATTAGGTGGTTTGGGGTCTTAGTGTTTAATTTTTGAAGTTCTTTATAGATCCTTAATGTTATTTCCA